CTACAAAAACAAAACTTTGCTGTGAAAAAGATCTGCCAATAGAACTTGAGTCGAACCTGGAGAGTTTCTAGTGTATAATTCGCATATGCTAATTTGCAATAAGTTCGAAATATATACTACTTTCCAGAGAACGGCCCTTGTAAGCCATCATCCACACCAAATATGCCTGATGAGCCGCTTAACCAACGGCGAAACGCGTCGCATAGTGGTGAGTGTGTGATAGTGTCTATCTGGCTTTCCTTTTCACTGCAAATTTCAGATCATTAAGCTCGTCTCGAAAGAGAAAACAAACACTTAAATCATAAAACACATGATCTTCGCCTTAATAAGGCAAAACTCAATATTTTTTTTTGTTTTAAAAACACACAAAAAAGTTTATGTTCTTTTACATTTGGTGGAAAAGTTTGTCAATAAATAATAGCTAATGGGCAAGAGCAAATGTGTCTTATTGCCTCCAAGTGTGATTGATTATTGGCAAAAAGTTTAGTATGGACTTTGGACAATTTATTGAGATACATTGGAAGTTTTTTTTTTTCAAACAGTGATGAGTCAGATGATTAGCGTATTCGGGGACGATATTGTTCTGACTTTTTTTTTAATATTTATCCAAACGTATAAAGTGTAACTATATTATTAATTATCTAATAATATTAATAATAATTTTCAAATACCCGCATTCATTTTTGCATACCAATTAATATTCTTTTTGAAAGCCAGACATGAGTGCAGTGACTGCTCAATTAACATTGTTGTAGAAATATTAAAACACAATGTTGTGGATTTTATTTAAAAAAAAGAAACAATTATATATGTGGTACGGACCATGGTATATCCCATTGTCGCAATAATCGAGTTTTTCAAACCGTCTGTAAAAAAGTGAAAGACATTTTTTCGTGATGACATTGAATTCAGAATAAAGTTATAAAGAATACTCTTTTAAACCTTTTCTAAACCTTGTGAAGAAAAATCGACTAGAATTAATGCCAAAAAAGAGTGTTTATGGGCAATCGACAATGTGCATTTTAAGAAAAAGGATTAATGGTGCCTGGCTAAAATCTTTGTGAATATTCCTTGTGCAGATTTTAAATATAAAAAATCGTGTAAAAATGCGCATATTATGTTGTTCCTACGAAAATTGTTTTTTTTCTTATTATACATATTTGCGGATTATCAAATATTATGAAGTAAAATGTAAAATATAATAAATATAAAATATAACCCAATTTCACAAAAATAATGCACATCGCTGAGTTCAATCCAACTAGTACCTCCAACACAAACAGTTCAATATTCCAAAATTTACAAATCATATAAAAAAAAAAACAAGTAAAAAGTCGAACTTTGAATACTCTCCACCATTTGGAACGAATTTGGCAATTTTTAAATATAAAAAAAAAATAAATAAATAAAAAAGCCTTAAAAATACCGAATGTAGCCGTTATATTAGGGTCTATACGACGACGTGGACCTGCATTGGCATCTTTTGTTATAAGCCATAACAATATTCAAATGCGAAACTTGAAAAAAATCGGTGAAGAATGTTGCTAAAATCACCAAAGTACCGAATATCGGGAGGTACCGTTATAGTAGTACCCATTACGAACTTCAAATACCAAATTTGAAACACTTCCGGTGAATAAAACAACCAAAATATCAATTATCGGGAGGTATAAATGGGCAATACCAAAACCTGGACCTACATCACCCATTTTCAATACCGAAAGTCCTGCAGACATAATACACATTTGAGTAAAATTTCATCAACCTTCTTCATTTCGTTCGGAAACTAGAGTGATTTCCAGAGACGGACATCGCTGAATCGACATAGAATTTTATGCTGATGAAGAATATATATACTTTGTGGGATATAAAATGTATATTTCGAAGTGTTACAAACGGAATGACAAGCTTAATATACCGTCCATACTATGGTGGAGGATATAAAAAAAAATTGAAACATTTTGTTAATAAGTAAAAAATAAGCTAAGTTCGGCCGGGCTGAACTTGTAATACCCTTCACCATTTGGAAGGAACTTGAAAAATTTCAAAAAAAGGCTGAAAACTACCACTTAGTTGAAAACCATTAAATGGGGACCATACGAAGACGTTACGAAATTTTTGGTAAGGGGCTGTAGTACCCATTACGAACTTCAAATATGAACTTTGAAATAATTCTGGTAAATAAGGTCGAAAATCCCGAATACCGGGATGTACCATTATATGGGGGCTATACGAAGACGTGGACCTGCATACGAAATTTTTTGTCATAGGTAGTAGTATCTATTAAAATCTTCCAAACCGAAGTTTGGAACTATTCCGGTGAATAATGTTGCTGAAATCATCAAAATACCGAATATCGGGAGGTACCGTTATATGGGGGCTATACGAAGACGCATACAAAAATGTTTGTTATAGGCTGTAATACCCATTGCGAACTTCAAATACGAAGTTTGAAGTAACTCCGATAAATAATGTGGCTATAATCATGAGAATACCGAATATCGGGAGGTACCGTTATGTGGCGGCTATACGAAAACGTGGACCGACATGGCCCATTTACTTAACCTGCATATTTCGGGGAGTTAAAAACGGAATGACAAAGCTAATATACTCTCCATAGAATGGTGGAGGGTATAAAAATCATAAAAATACGAATATAGGGAGTTATCGTTATATTGGTGGCTATGCGAAGACTTGGACTTGCATAACCAATTTTTTTCACAGGCTATAGTACCCATTAGGAACTTCAAATACGAAACTTGAAACAATTTCAGTGGATTTCATGAAGATAGGGAGGTACTATTATGTGGGGGCTATACGAAGACATGGGCATGAATAGGCAATTTTCTGTCACAGGTTGTAGAACCCATTACGAGGTTCAAATATGAAACTTGAAACCATTTCGGTGAATTATGTAGCTAAAATCAATAAAATGAGGTATCAATATTTGGGGCTATACAAAGACCTGGGACTGGATTCTTGTTCTATGAAAATTTGAAATGAAAAAGAATTTCCTTTATACTTTTTTCATTTGAAATTTCTTTTCTTTATAAAAGTTTTCACTTCACATTTTCATAGAACGAGAATTGAGGCCCTGAACCTAAATAAGCAATTTTCTGTCACAGGCTGCAGTAGCCGTTAAGAACTGCAAACACGAAATTTGTAACCATTCCGGTGAATAATGTCGCTAAAACCATGAAAATATCCTATATAGAGAGAACAGTTTTATGGGGGCTATACCAAAACGTGGACCTACATAGCTCATTTTAAATATTAAAAGTCCTGCAGAAAAACACACATCTTAGTAAAATTTTGTCAACCTATTTTAATTTGTTCGGAAGCTAGATTTATTTCCGGATAGACAGAAAGACTATTTCATTCATGTATATTTCAAGGAGTTACAAACTGAATGACAAACTATGGTGGAGGGTATAACCATAATAAAAATTCACTCCATACATAGTTCATTTTTATACCCTCAGCCAAACTAAACTTGGTACGTCGTAATATTATTATCAAACATAGATTAAATTCGAAGATGGGCAATATTAGTCCACTCCTTCTGGTATATTTTACTGCTCTAACTTTTCAAAACCTAATAGCTGCATCAAGTACCTTCCCCACAAAGGGTTAACACTTTGAATATTTATAACTCTTATAAAATGTGATGCAAGATACCAATGGTCTTATTACACGCAGTACAATTTTTTTATTAACCCAAGGTTTGGTGTGAAGATGGAATATATCGGTCACTTCTTCTTGTACCTCCCCCACAAAGGATACAAATTTTGAATATCCAAAAAGTTCATTAAACGGAAAGTTAAAGTGATTCGCACATCTTATTATTTCTATCAATACAAGATCTGTTATAAAGATGGTAAAAATTGGACCGAAAAATGGCTCCTGAGCTGAACATATCGTAATATTCCATTCGGCAAATATTGAAAAATGTTTCCAGGCTACACATGAACAGCGACCATAATGCCTAATTTCAGATTTCAAGCACTACCTGTTCACCCAATACCAAATAAACTACTTTTCGTGCACATGTTGTACACATTTCCAAAATCAGCTCTTTATCACAACAGAGACCCCAATACAACATTTTGAAATTTCAGCTTAATCGGTTCACCTTAATACCAATTGTTACAAATTTATTGCCATTTAGTACAGTTCGCATTTTAGCATTTTAGAAGTTTAGTACCATTTAAGAACTTTTTGTAACTTTTAAGTTTTCATTTCCAAGAACTCTTTAGTACTTCATCCGGGACTCTCATTCCAAATTTTAGAACTTTAGCTCATTCCGTATGTCCAATATAAAGTATTGAATTTTTAGTACATTTTAGTACTTTTCATACCCTTTTAGTGCGAATTTCCAAAAACCAAGCTTAATCGACCGCCTACGCACCCCTGTGCAAAATTTCTAAGTCAGTCAGTCACATAGAAAACGAAATTTGTTCCCGATTTCTCTCAATCTTGAACATCTCAGTATTTCTACCGAATATTAATCATTTTTCTGCTTCCTCCCCTATTTAAGTTAAGTATTGAATATTCAAGAATCTCATATATTGTGAATAAGATCTCCGAATCGATTCAATAATATTAGGTCCGTTAATACAAGGTCCGATTAGTACCATCTTACTCCAAAATTTTAAAGAAATTGGATTTTAAGAGATTTTGCTTAGAATATATCTAAGATTTACTGGTCAAAAAAAAAAAAAAAAAAAAAAAATGTGCAATTTCAAAATATAAATAAAGAAATAAATTAAACTATAAATAAATAATGAATTACAAAAAAATAATTAAAAAGTTCAATAGGCAATTCAGCCGAATTTGTGTTTACATAAAACATTTACTTCCCTTTACAGAAGACAGTCAAATTAAAATTAAATTCCCGCCATCAGTAAATCCTATGAAATTTTTTGTGAACAAATCATAAATTGCCGACAAGCACTATGGCCAGTGCCATCACCTTACTACCCTCTTCCTCGTCTGCAAAACAAAATGTAGCCGATATAACTTCTTCCCTACGCCACTTCGGCATCGTTGATTATTGTGTTTTTGTCCTGATGTTAATTATTTGTTCCGCCATTGGATTCTATTTTGGTTTCATCGAAAAGAAACAGAAAAACAGAGGCCAATGGAATGTTGGCGATGAACAGCCCCGAGACTCAGAGGCCTTGGATTATTTGGTCGGTGGTCGAAGAATGAAGGTTTTTCCGGTTTCGATGTCACTGATAGCCAGGTTAGTATTGAGGACATAAGAAGTTTCATTTTAATCTATCAGAAAATAAGAGAAGTCCTTGTGTATTTCAAGTCATCACAAGTCATAATACATCCTCACAGAGATCTTAATAAACCAGGCAAGGCTTGATTATCAATTAGCCAAGGTTTGATAAAACAATTCTATTTAAGGCTAGTTTCACATCAAGTTAGATCCACATTTTAAATGATATTTTCAAACTAATATGTGTATTTTCATAGCATACTTTTCAGAGCTTTCGATAACTTTTAAACTTAAAAGAAACTATATAATCAAGTTTTAAATATATTTATTTTCAGTAGCTTTAAAACGTTAGGTAGCGCCTAAAAGTATGTTACATTAAGCTCAAGATTCATTCGAAAAAAACTCTACACATATGATCTGTTAAGAACCACCTGGAATCTTTTGCAATTTTTTCGATATCATAAAGGAAAAGTCGGTTAGCGTAGTAAACAGTTTTACATTCTCGTTCCAGTTTTGTTTCGGGCATAGCCCTCTTGGGTACCTCAACCGAAATCTATGTTTATGGTACACAATATGCCTTTATTGTGATTGCAATGGCCTTAGCTGGCCTTATTTCATGGTTTGTCTTCTTGCCAGTCCTCTGTAATCTTCAATTGACTTCCACCTATGAGGTAAATGTATTTTTTTTTTTCAATTCGAGATTTTCTTCAAAACTATTTTTCCTTTGAATGCTTTTTTCAGTACTTTGAAATGCGTTTCGGCAAAGGAATGCGTTTGTTCGGTTCAATTCTATTTTCATTGGGTATGGTAAGTATCGACTTGGAGTAGCAAATTCTTCCTCTTTCCACATTTTTCTTTTGTCTTTTTTGGATTTTTTTACAAAACCATGCCAATCAATCTTTTTCTATTTCCATGATGTTGATGCTCTTTTTGGGTTCACATATCTTCATATATCTGTTTAGGTTGCATGGTTACCTATGGTCATTTATGTTCCAGCATTGGCTTTCAACCAAGGTAATATAACATTTCTGGCTTATCGATTTTGGAATTTTGTCTTTATTCACTTGTTTGAAATATATACCCATGACTTTTGGAAAATTCTTAAATATTTAGCTCCCTATAGATTCCATAATTCTGTTCTTCATTTTAGTAACTGGAGTCAATGTCCATATTATAACGCCGGTAGTATGCTTGGTCTGCATATTTTATACATGTGTGGTAAGTTTTGAAACGTAAATTGTACAATTCTCGGGGAAAAGAGAAGTGGGGATAGTGTGAATTACGAAATCGAGAGAGAGAGAGAGAGAGAGGGAGAGAGAGATGTATATTTGGGGATAGCAAATAATAACCATAATTTTTGAAAAAAGTGTACCTTCTCTCGGATCGAACTTTTAATGCCCTCCCTTTTTGGAAGAAATATGCACATTTTCAAAAAAAAAAAAAAAAAAAAAACCGTAAAGAAAGTTTTAAAGTCGGGCGGGCCGACTTTATGATACCCTACACCACTTTGCTAACTTAGTAGAGCTCCACATAACAATTACAAGTTTTTATGGGAGAATTCAATCTTACACGCTATGATTATAATTGTAATTTAAAACTCAAAGGACTAAATATGCCGACGCATTGGTATCTTTTCTATTCGGACTTGTATTACCCATTTGATATATATGGGAGCTATATCCAAATCGGAACGGATCTCGATAAAATTTGGCAAAGATATTTCTGAGCTGTATTTGATGTATTTTCCTGAATATCGTCGTTACGGAGTTCATATTACAGCTGTGGGTAACAAATATAACAAATCGGATGAACAGTATATATGGGAGCTATTGCTATATCTAAACCGTTCTTCACCAAATTTGACATACTAGCTTCTAGACTCAATTCAGTCGTAAGTGCTAAATTCCATCCCATTTGGACAAATATTAGACGTTTGGTGCACAATAAAAGGTAAATCGGACGGAGTTATATATGGGAGATATATCCAAATCCGAACCGATCTCGATAAAATTTAGCAAAGGTATTTCTGATATGCATTTGATATATTTCCCCAAATATTGTTGTTACAGAGTGCATATTACGGCTGCGAAGGACAAAAATAACCAATCGGATGAACAATATATGTGGGAGCTATAGCTATATCTGAACCGATTTCAGGCCTAATTTGGTTGTATGTGCGAAATTTTATACTATTCGTGCTGTGTTACAGGTTTGGTGTACAGTAAAAGGCAAATCGGACGAAGATATATATGGGAGCTATATCTAAATTTTTACCGATTATCTCCAATTTCAATAGGGTTCGTCCCTGGGCCAAACAAATGATTTGTGCAAAATTTCATCTGGATCGGGTAATAAATGCGAACTGTTGTTGTAGTTCACAAAAATACATGGACAGACGGACGGACATGCATAAGTCGACTCAGAATGTGATTCTGTGTAGATCTATAGGAACTATGGGTATATCTCGTTTCCTTTGGCTGTTACAAACAAATTCACAAAAACATAATACCCTGACCACCTTGTGGTGTAGGGTATAAAAATCCGTTGAAAAATACTGCAAAATACTGGTGCTTATACGAAGAAGAGAACCTGTAAATGCCATTTTTGTCACAGGCCATAACGATATTCAAATACGAAATTTGAAGTAATTCCGGTAAATAATGTCGCGAAAGTCATCAAAATACCGAATATTGGGAGATACCGTTATGTGGGGGCTATTGGAACCTAGGACCTAGATAAATATGACATAAATATTGCGACGTGCCAAGTTTGGTCTATATTGGTTACTTCCTTCAATTTATATGAGATATGTGATAATTTTTAGAAAATGTTAAAATATGCGTGAGGTACCAGATATAATCGACCGAAATATTCCATTTTCATCCTTCATATACTGCAGATAAAAATATCGGTATGGGCAAAATTACAAGAAAATCGAGAAGTTTTATCCAATATTATGCGAAATCATAAATTCCAGGCTTCTGGTTGAGAGAAATATTTAGCTATACCAAATGTTCCGAAAGTTGAGGCAGATAAAGGTATTGAAAATTGTGACCCTTTGTGGATGAGGTGCCAGAAGCGGTTCGCAGATATATATTATCTTTACAACAGATCTTGTATTAGTGAAAACGTTTGTGGGTGTGAAATTTGAAGAGAGTGGGATGCTTATTTCACCTTCTTTGAGCGGTTTGTTTCTCAAAATCTTGAACCCTATGTGGTGGAGGTACCAGGAGAAATAGTCCAATCTCTACCACCTTTATAACAGATCTTGTGTTGATGGAAATATTGAGATGTACTGGGAACTAGATGCTTGTTTTATAATCGTTTTGGTTAATCACAACTTTGAACCTTTGTGGGAGATACCAGAAAAAATGGTCCGATTTCTACCATCTTTAAAACAGACCTTGAGTTGGTGGAAATATTGAGATGCGCCAAGTCTGAATGGAATCGAATGTAAACTTTGTGTTTTATGAGCTTCATTAATATTCAAAATTTTGCCCCTTTGCTGTGGAGGTACCAGAAGGAGTTTCGCGTTTTATGATCTTCACGGATATTTAAAATTTTGACCCTTTGTGTAGCAGGTACCTGACGGAGTGAACCGATATATCCCATTTTACACCGGACCTTGGGTTAATAAAAATATTTTAATGTGTGAAGTATGAAAATAACCGAAAGCTTATTTCAGATTTTATATCCATTGTGGAGGAGTTCTGGTACCTCCGATGGTTCAGAATGGTCCGACCTCTACCATTTTTATAACAGATAGAAAAATTGAAATGTGCCAAGTCTGAATGGAATCGGATGTTAATTTCGCGTTTTCAAAACTTTGACTCTTTGTGGGGGAGGTAGCAGAAAGAGTGGATCGATATATTCCATCTTCACACCAGACCTTGTTTTTATAAAATTATTGTGATGTGTGTAATTTGAAGATATAGGGGTTATACTTATTCAAAATGTTGACCTTTTGTAGGGGAGATACTTGATGGAGTAGACCGATATTGTCCATTTTCAGACCTCGCCTAGCATTGATGGAAATATTAGGATTTGTAAAGTTGGAGCAAAATCGGGTTATCCTTTTTCTTTCTGTGCTCTAAAATATTTATTTGAAAATGTTGACCTTTCGTGGAGAGATGGACAGAAGGAGTAGACCGATGTAGCCCATCTCCGAACTCGATCTGTTTTATTATAATATTACAATGTACCAAGTTTGGAACAAATGGGATACTTCCTTCGAGAGTTATTGTGCTCACCAGCCAGTCAGACAGACAGACGGACGGCCGGACATCGCTAGATCGACTCCAAATGTCCTAAATCGGATTTGGTCCAAAGAAAGGCTGAACTCCGTCGGAAGTGCCAACATTCAGTCGATTTGGGCTGATGTTAGCCATTTGGCACACAAGAAATCTGAAATTTGATAAAGGTATATGGTAGCTATATCCAAATTTGAACCGATCTTGACAAAATATTAAACACGTATCTCTGAGCTGTATCTGATATCTGGTACCAAAGTTGCTTTTGCTGTGGAGTGCATATTACGCATGTGAGGGAATTTAACACCAAATCGGATAAAACATATATATGGGATCTATCGCTATATCTGAACTGATTTTCACTAATAATTTGAAGAACTTGTTTTTAGGCTGAATTCCGTCGGAAGTGCCAAAATGCAGTCAATTTGGACATATATTGGCCATTTGGTGAACAATTAACTCGAAATCGGTTGAAAATATATATGGGAGCTATATCTAAGTTTGAACAAATCTTGAACCATCTATGAAACACTTATTTCTGAGCTGTATCTGATATCTGGTAGCAAAGATCATTGTTGCAGAGTGTATCGAATAATACATATATATGAGAGCTATAGCTATATCTGAACCGCTTTTCACCAAACTTGAAGTACTTGCTTCTATACTGAATTCGATCGCATGTGTCTATATTCTAAACTAAACCGATTTCAATAAAATTTGACAGAGGTCTTTTCTGATGTCCGGTACCAAATACCATTCTTCTCTGTAGTGCATATTACGCAGGTGAGGGATTTGAACCCCCAAATCGGATGAAAAATATATATGGGAGCTATGGGTATATCTGAACCATATTTGATTTACTTGCTTCTAAACTGAATTCGGTTGGGTGTGCCGAATTTCAGGTCATTTGGACTGATATTGGCCATTTGGTGAACAATTAACCCGAAATTGTTTGAAGATATACTTTGAGCTATATCTAAATTTGAACAGACTCTCACCAATTTCAATAGGCTTCGTCCTTGTACCAAGCAATTGATTTATAGAAAATTTCATCTCAATCGGATAATAAATGTGATCTGCATTACGGACGGACGGACGGATAGACGGACTGCAATACATAAATCGACTCAGAAAGTGATTCTATGAATATTATCTGTGTGGAGATAACTGTGAGTCTACCTCGCTTCCTTTTCCATGTTACAAACCAATGTACAAAGACAAACCAGGTCTAGGGTATAAAAAGAAAAATTTTATGGTGTCCTACATTTAAGGAAAGCAGGTGTGTAGTACTCATTCTCTAAAGAAAGCAAGATCTTTTTAGTAACCTTTTTAAAACATTTTACTTTTTAAAGGAAGGGAACGCCTTTATAACCTCCCTCGAATGAAGTGAATTTAAGAATAATTTCTAAAAATTGAATCAGATATTTTTTAGAAAATCAACTTTTAGGTGTTTTAAGTATATTTCGTCGAGGGAGAGTGCTAATTGGTAGCATTCCTCAAAGGATGTGGTCTTGAGTATCAGTTATCAGAGAAGAAGAGAAGAACCATGACTCAGAGACTTTAGACTTGGTTCAAAAATTCACGTTTATGGCCATTTAAGGGCCTTTCAATATTCTTAAAGACATATGTTTAAAGCTCTCATTTTCCAAAAATCTTTAAATAATCCACATTTGTGGTCATGAAGTGGGATATCTAAAAAATTCTAAAATAGATTTTTAAATTTCCTCAAAATATCCTGGAAAATCCACATTTGAGAGTGTGTTGCTCAAAATATCTTAGAAATCGAAGCTCATAGCTCTGAATGTGTTTACTTAAATAGTCCTCCAACTATGCTTAAAAAATCCTCGTTTGCAGATTCCTTCCAGTTATCCATTAAAAAACACCCGTTTGTAGCTCTAAACATGAGAAAAATCCTTTAACATCCAGGTAAGTGGGCCTGAAGTAGGTCCTCTCAATATCGTCAAGAAATCTACGTTTATGACTCGGAATGTGTTTTCTCAAAAAATGTCCTCCAATTATCGTTACCAAAGGACTGTGGTCCACATGAAGGTGGGTTCATTAAAAATTCTAAAAATTTTGAATTTATACGTCTGAATGTGTGTATTCCAAATGGGTTTCAAATATCCTAAAAAATCGAGGTTTGTAGTCCAAAAAGTGTGTCCTCGAAAAATCAGCGTTTGTACCTCCTTGAAAAATCCGTGTCTCCAGCTCTCAATGTGAGACATAAATTTTTTTTCACGTTCACGTTTATGTTCTAAATTTCATACCATTACCCCTGGATCCTCAAAATGTCTGCTTTTAATTTACTTTGCTCTACCTCTCCGTATTTTTTACCTTCTTTCTTTTTCTGCATTTTCTTCAATTTCAGGGTGGTCTAAAAGCAGTCATTTGGACAGATGTCATACAAACGGTTATTATGGTGGGTGCCATTATCTTTGTGATTGTCAAGGGGACAATAGATGTGGGCGGCTTTGGAGTGGTGTGGGAACGTAATTCGGCTACGGGAAGAATTGAAATTCCTGAGTATGACTAATCCCTCAAAAGTTTATAAAACTTCCTTTTAATTAATTTTATTTTTTTTTATAAATTTTATTTCAGACTTACCCTGGATCCCACGGTACGCATCTCCATGTTTTCGATATTATTCGGTTCCACTCTCTGGTATACCCAGGTGAATTGTGCCAGCCAGCATATTGTACAACGTTATCTTTCGCTGCCATCACTGAAGGATGCCAAGGTAGCCTGTGTTTACTTTACCCTGGGAATTGTTATCATCAATATCCTGACCATGTATAATGGTCTTGTGATGTTTGCCAATTATCATGACTGTGATCCGTTGAGCACAAAATTGGCCAAAAACAAGGATCAAATGGTCCCGTTGATGATAATGGAAACCTTGAGATTTTTACCCGGAATGGCTGGTCTCTTTGTGGCGGCAGTTTTTAGTGCGGCGCTCAGTTCCATGTCGACGGTTTTGAATTCATTGGCTGCCGTTTGCTTGGAGGATTATATAAAGCCATTTGTAAAGACACCTTTGAGTGAAAGGCAAACGGCTTGGATAATGCGTTCCACGGTGGTGGCAATTGGTCTGCTAAGCGTGGCCTTGGTTTTGGTGATCGAGTTTATGGGTCATGCGGTGTTACAATTGAATACCACATTGACTTCGGTTACTGGCGGCCCATTGTTGAGTTTGTTTTTAATGGGTCTGCTAATGCCCTGGATTAATTCGAAGGTGACAAAAATATTATTAAAAATGTTTTTGAAATTATTTTCAAAATTTGATTTAAATATTTTTTTTGTGGATTTTTTGTAGAGTGCCATAAGTGGTTGTGTGGTATCATTTGTTACCATGACCTGGATATGTGTTAAATGCCAAATGGCCTTGGCCTCGAAAGAGTTGGTTTATCCTGAGAAACCCTTTTCAACGGAAGGATGTTCCTATGATTTTGAGCCACAAATGACACCAGCCAATTCCACCATTCATGATGCCAGGTAAGGAAGTGGATTTTTGGGGAGCAAGTTCTTTATACCAAAGGGCCTGATAGGGAGCCATAAGCTGTGGGTTAGTTTGGGCACCATGTTAAAGGTATGTCTAAGCTGACTTTAAATTTACTTTTTCGACAAGAAACCTGTAAGGAAAGCTTCGTCGGGCGTCGTCGACTATATGATATCCTACACCTGTTTAGTAGAGTTCCCGTAACAAAAGAGGTATATATTGGAAATTTTTGCGAAGTGGTCATACCAACCATGAAACTTTTTTTTGTGAATGCATATCATGGCTTTAGAGCAGTTACAATTTGAGAACTATATCCAACTCTGAATCGATTTACAATAAATTTGAGGGAGGTCTTTGTGCCTCTAGTTCCGAATTACATTGCTGGACAAATTTGGTTGAATATAAAACAAGTAAAAAAGAAGCTAATTTCGGCCGGGCCGTACATTTAATACCCTCCACCGTTTGGAAAGAACTTGGAATTAAAAAAAAATCCGGAAACTTCCACTTAATTGAAAACCGGTATATGGGGACCATACGAATGTTTTTGTAATATGCGGCAGCATCCATTACGAACTGCAAATACGAAATTTGAAACAGTTCCAGTGAATAATGTCGCTAAAATCATTAAAATATCGAATATAGGGAGGTACCGTAATATGGGGGCTTTACGAAGACATGGATCTGCACATGAAATTTTTTGCCATAGGTTGTAGTACCCATTAATATCTTCCAAAACGAAGTTTGAAATAGTTTCAGTGAATAATGTCGCTAAAATCATTAAAATATCGAATATCGGGAGGTACCGTTATATGGCGGCTATAAGAAAAGGGGGACCGACATGGCCCACTTACCAACTTAACCTGCTTACTGGTAAATGTATTCAAAATTGTAGCATCCTGTCTTAATTCATTCGAAAGATTACAACAGACATACGACAGGCATCGCTAGATCGTCTTCGAATTTTACGTTGATCCAGAATATATATACTTTGTAGGGTCTATTATGAATATTTCGAGGAGTTACAAAAGCTAATGTACCCTCCATAGAATGGTGGAGGGTATAAAAATCTATCCAATTTGGGCTGATCGGATGAAGATTTATATTGAAGGTATATAAAAATCTAAACCGATCTCTATACAATTTGGCAGAGGTATTTTCGTGCTGTATCTGATGTCGGGAATCAAATATTATTGTTGTGTAGTGCGTATTATGCATGTGAGGGACCTTAAAACCAAATTGATGACACATATATATTGGAGCTCTATGCATATATGCACCGATTTTCACCGATATTTGAAGTACTTGCTTCTGGGCTGAATTCCGTCGGAAGTGCCAAAATTCAGTCCATCTGGGCTGATATTAGCTATTTGGTGTACAAGTAAACCTCAAGTCGGATAAAAATATATATGGAAGCTATATCCAAATCTGAACCGATTTCAATAAAATTTGACAGAGGTATTTTGGAGCAGTATCTGATGTTCGGTACCAAATATCATTCTTCTTTGAAGTGCATATTACGCAGGTTAGGGATTGATCGCCCAAATCGGATGAAACATATGTATATATGGGAGCTATAGCTATATCTGAACCAAATTTGATTTACTTGCTTCTAGACTGAATCCGATCGGGTGTGCCGAATTTCAGGTCATTTCGATTGATATTGTCCATTTGGTTCACAATTAACCCGAATTCGGTTGAAGATATATATGGGAGCTTCATCTTAATATGAACCGATTCTCTCCGGTTTCAATAGGGTTCATCCTTGGGCCACACAAATATCTCAATCAGATAATAAATGCGACCTGCATTTCGTTCACAAAAATACGTGGACAGACGGACGGAGACTGACATGCATAAATCGACTCATAAAGTGATTCTATGAAAATCCTCAAAAGTATCAATGGGTCTATCTCGCTTCCTTCAAAGGCATAATACCCTTCCACTATATGGTGCAGGGTATAAAAAAATTAAACAAATGATTGCTTGGAGATACCTTCTTAATTCTACCATGATGCCAACATTAATGCTCCGTTGCAGAAACTGTAAGAATCTACTAGTTTTGTATTTTTTTCCGATTTCATAAAGGGAAAATCAGTTATCGTAGCTAAAAAGGGTATATATCAGGGCAGTTCCAGAACCTGCAAAAATCTCATAGTTTTGCTATTTTTTCAATATCATAAAGGGAAAATCGGTGTTCATTGTAAAAACTTTTACATTCTTGCAGTTCTGGAACAGACCAATCACTTGATACGGCCAAAACGTACTAGTCGAAATAACGGCTTTAGACCCTAGGTCTCTTTGGACCACATCCGTTACATGACATTTGCAGTCGATCTAGCCATGTCCTTCCGTCTCGAAGGGAGTATCCGATTTGGTCCAAACTTGGTACATCGTTATATTTTTGTCAAACTTAGATCGAGTTCGGAGATGGGCAATATCGGTTCACTCCTTCTGTTACCTCGCCCACAAAATGTCAATATTTTCAAAGGAAATAATTTACTACACAGAAAGAGGAACGATAATCCGATTTTGCTCCAAGTTTACAAATCCAAATATTTGCGTCAGTGCTAGGTCAGGTGCGAAAATGGACAATATCGGTCCTCTCTATCATGTACCTCCCCCACAAAGCTTCAAAATTTTTAATAAAACGCAAAATAAACATCCGATTCCATTAAGACTTGACACACCTGAGTATTTCTATCAACACAGGATTTGTTATAAAGGTGGTAGAGATCGGACCATTCCATCTGGCACCTCCCCCACAAAGGGTCAAAGTTTTGAATAACCAAAACATTTATAAAATACGAAATAAGCATCACGTTTTCTTTATATTTCACATATTTCTTTATTTCTACTAACACAAGATCTGTTGTGAATACGGGATATATCATTCCTCTTCTTCTGGTACCTCACCTACAAAGGGTCAACATTTTGAATATCCATGAAGCTCATAAAACGCGAAATTAACATCCGATTCCATTCAGACTTGGCACATCTCACTATTTCCATCCACCTGAGATCTGTTATAAAGATGGTAGAGTTCGGACCATTTCTTTTAAGCCTGCCCCACATAGGATCAAGATTTTGAAAAACAAAATGCTTAAAGAAAGCGAAATATGCATTCAAAACTCTTTTAATTTCACACATACAAACATTTTTGCTAACACGAGATCTGTTGTGAAGATGATATATATCTGTGAACCCCTTCTGGTACCTCACTCATAAAGGAACCCACTTCATAGAGGGGCAAGTGTTTAAATAATCATAACAGAAGTCAAAGTATGTTTAAATAATCGAACAATGGCTGAGGGAATACGTTTGTCGGCAGAACCGATTGATTCTTTATACCCTACGCCACAAGGTGTTCAGGGTATTATGTCTTTGTGCATTTGTTTGTAACAGGCAAAAGGAAACGAGATAGACCCATAGTTCCTTTTGATGATCTGCATAGAATCACTTTCTGAGTTGATTTATGCATGTCAGTCCGTCCGTCTGTCCTTGTACTCTTGTGAACAAAATGCGACCTTTATTATCCGATTGAGATGAAATTTTTCAAACAACATTTGTTTGGCTCTTAGTCCGATTTGCCTTTTATTGTGCACCAAACGTATAATATCAGCCCGAATAGTACGGAATTTCGCACATACAATCAAATAAGGCCTGAAAATAAGTATGCCAAATTTGATAGAAATCGGTTCAGATATAGCGGTAGCTTCCATATATATTTTTCATCCGACTTGTTATTTTTGTCCTCCGCAGCCGTAATATGCACTCTGTAACAACTATATTTGGGGAAATATATCAAATACAGATCAGAAAAATAACTTTGATAAATTTTATCGAGGTAGGTTCAGATTTGGATATATCTCCCATATATATCTTCGTCCGAATTACTTTTGATTGTGCACCAAACGTCTAATATTTGTCCAAATTGGATGAAATTTGGCACTTACGACCGAATTGAGTCTAGAAGCTACTGTTCATCTGATTTGCCATATTTGTTACCCACAGCCGTAATATGCACTCCGTAACATCAATATTCAGGGAAATATGTGAAATACAGCTCAGAAATATCTTTATTAGCTCCCATATATATCTTTATTTGATTTCAAATTAATTGTTCGCCAAATGGGCAAGTCCGAATTTAAAAGATACAAATGCTCCGGCATATTTAGCCCTTTGAACTTTAAATTCTAATTATAATCATAGCGTGTATGATTGAATTCTCCCACAAAAACTTTTAATTGTTATGCGCAGCTCTACTAAATTAGCAAAGTGATGTAGGGTATCATAAAGTCGGCCTCGCCCGACTTTAAGACTTTCTTTACTGGTTTTTATCTATAATTTTACAAGGTACAATATACCTTAAGTCTACGGATCCCAAGGAATCTTGATCCAAAAAATCTAAAATAAAAATGTGAAATGGGTGTGTTACTTGCTCCCTCTATTTCGTCTATTTTTCGTTGTAAACTTTCAAAACACCGATAGTCTACTGAACTTTTCCCATTCTCATTTTCTCATTTGGTGTTGCCCAGTGTAATATTCATTGTCTATATTCTTAATCTATGAAATGTTCTTAATTGTTTTTTACTTTTTTATTTTAATTTCCAGTTCCAAAACCTTTGCCCAGTACATTTATCAAATGTCATTTTTCTTTTATGCCGCCTTTGGTTGTCTCGTTTCCATTGTGGTTGCCCAGTTGTCAACATTTATTTTTGGTCGTAACAATCCTTCGGCTATGAATTGCCAACTTTTCCCACCGTTCATAAGGAGATTTATTAAAAGGAGAAGCAATGTGGATGTGGAGGATGAAGAGGAGAAGATGACACTGGCCATGGTATCAGCTGAGCAGATGAAGATAAGCTAGCCGAGTTCAATGGAGAAATGGGTTGCATCATTGATAAAAATAGGAAAATATCAAGACTGTTTAAGTTAAGGAATGCTAAAATTAAATAAAAGTAATTAAAAAATAAAATTAAAAAATAAAATAAATTTTGTTTGGCGTATAGAAGGTTTAAAAATAATCCATTATTTCCCCTACCTAAGGGTAATGGAAAATATAGGTTGTTTATATTACCTTGTAATGAATTATTCGTATCATTTTGATCCGCCTTTGTATCAGCCATCTAAAGTAATCGATTAAATGCTGCAATATTTGAATATGTTATGACTGTTTATTGTGAGGCAAAATTATTCAGAATTTATTATGTATTAAAAATCAGCTACTATTCTTAATTTCTTCATTACCCCCTTCATCTTTTTCCTCAAATTCTTGGTGTTGTTCATTATTCTCCGCCTTAGCTGCACGCTTCTTGCAAACTTCACATTCCCGTTTATCCAATGGTGGACGACAGTCACACCAATAGATTTTATTTAACAGGATACGTTTCGGCCGATCTCTTATTTCATAATTCGGCACGAACTTCTCACAACAGCAGCAACAAGGCGAATTGCAGCACGGACAACAAGGGGTGCCTGTGGGATCCATGATAAGGCGGAAGATGTTTTTTTTTTTGTAATACCTCAAATTTCTCACTTGGTGGCCATCAAATTTTGTTCTTCGAAAATTAAATTGTATTTAGCGTTTAATTTACAACATATTTGTTGATAATTTTGAAAAGGTTTCGAAATAGTTTTGAGGTTTAGCGATTTGTTTAAAAAAAAACAAAATGAAAATTTTATGAATTTTTTTTTTTTTTTTGACGTGACATGGTATGCCAATTTAATTAGGAATAGCTTACATATCATAGCTCTGTTTCAGACCCTGCAAGAATCTACTGTTTTTGCAATTTTTCTCAATTTCATGATGGGAAAATCGTTTATCGTAGTAAATTTTTTTACGTTTTTGCATTTCTGGAACGGGCCACATGTTGGAAACACAGACTGCCTATTGGAGAGTGAAATGTAAGAAAAATGCTAAACTTGTCGAATATATAAAAATAGGTTTTATACCATAATTGATGATATTTTTGTGTGGTATATATTAAGTTTACACACATGGTACAATGAAGAGAAGGTAGGCCAACTTTGAAAAAATTGCAAATATAGAGGTCTTCCTGTTTGGCTGGTAGTGTCAGAATTAGTATCAAAACAATAAAAAATCAAACAACTTGTTGCAATTGATTTGAATAAATAATTGAAAACCACGAAAACTGAATGAAAGGTCAAAATTACTTTTCAAAATCATGTTCTATATATCTCTAAAGGTTCATTTCGCTACAAAAACTGTAGATTCTGTCGATGCATACGTTGAAATAAACATTTTGAAAACTCCGAATTTTAATATTTTCTGAACAATTTTTTTGTTATTGAAAAGAAAACACATACATAGACAAATAAAGTTGACATATTAAGCCAAGAAAATAAAAAAATTAAAGTCATATGTTATCATAGCCCTACCTTGATTTTATTGTACCATGTGTGGTATATATTAACCATGGTAGAATTACAAGGTAGCCCTATCAGGCCAGCTGGTGGCAACTTGATATGCCAAACAAATTGTTGTAATTTGAATTCGCCACAAATATGCACATAAAGAAATTTTTGAGCGATTTGAAAATTTAGATAAGGCAACTGAGAGATAATCGAGAAAATTGGTGTAAGTCTGCCTTTTTACGCTCTATGAGATCAGAGCACGGATAATGTTAAACATTTTCCATGATTCTGCTGAAAATACGACTAAAACGTTAGCTGAAACGTAGCTACACCAAAATGACCCTTAGTTTACATTATTTTAAGACATGTGAATCTAACTCCCAGATGTCCTCATAAAACAATAAACATTATTTGGCTTGAATATTTTAAATAAATGACCGGAGTGAAATCGAAGTACGATTTTATTTAGGATTCCATATCCATTAGCCACACACAAGCGTCAATGTATACACCACATTTTAAGACATAGCCTGTTTCTACTAATACAAAGACCCTAGAATCCCGGATAGAATTCAATAATCTCCAAAGACTTTCTTTGCATTTTTATGTGAATCGCACAAATCGAGTTGAGTAGTTTGCCAAAATTGTGATTGCACCAAATATGCCTTATTTGGAGGGTAACTAGCCGCAATTAAAATTGAATTTGTCCGGGCGGCCAGAATTTTGTCACAAAACCAAATTTCACAACACACATCACAACGACCGTAGATAACTGATCTGCAAGAGAGATATGTAAAATAAGTTTACAATGAACTTATGATCCATGCACATTAGTACCTGGGAAAGTCGAAGAACATTTTACCAATGGTACAATGATATCAAGGTAGGGTAGAACTACCATATGATTTAAATTTTTTCATTTTCTTGGCCTAATATGTCATCTTTATTTGTTTTTTCAATTATTTATTCAAAATCAATGCAACAAGTTGTTTGATTTTTTATTGTTTTGATACTAATTCTGACATTACAAGCCAAACAGGAAGACCTCTATACTTGCAATTTTTTCTAAGTTGACCTACCTTCTCTTCATTGTACCATGCCCATTTCCTATCGGATCCAAAAATATGATATAAATATTGCGACAGATGTGCCAAGTCAAATATTAGGATGTGTGAAATTTGAAGACAATCGGACTTTTACATCACATTTAATGAGATTGTAATTATTCAAAATTTTGACCATTTGTGGGGAAGGTACTTGATGTAGTGGGCCGATATTGTCCATTTTCACACCTGATCTAGTACTGACGCAAATATTAGGATTTGGAAAGTTAGAGCAAAATCGGATTATCTTTTCTCTTTCTGTGCAAAAAATATATTTTGAGCCGAAAATATATAGGAGTGAGCCGATTTTGCCCATCTCCGAACTCGATCTAAGTTTGACAAAAATATTACGATGTACCCAATTTGGACCAAATCGGATAATCCCTTCGAGAGTTATCGTGCGCACCAGCCAGACAGACAGACGGACGGACGGACGGGCGGACATCGCTAGATCGACTCCAAATGTTCTGAAACGGATGTGGTCCAAAGAGACCTCGGGTCTAAAACCGTTATTTCGACTAAGCACATTTTGGCTGTATCAAATGATATATACCCTCTATAGCCACATGGCTGAGGGTATAAAAATAGGTTTTATACCATTATTGATGATATTTTTGTGTGGTATATATAAGGTTTACACATCTTTTTTGTTCGGAAGCTCATAATGAAATTTGATTCGGAATATTTCACTATTTCACACATTTCCCAAAAATGAAATATTAAGGGAGATTTTGACTTTGAATGGAAGCGCATTAAATGTGCAGTAAGAACGTAAACACACAGATTTCACTTGTGATACATTAAATTCTTAAAACTACAGGGTGAGATAAAACAAGTTAAAAAACAGTAAGTTCGGCCGGGCCGAATTTTCTGTCAAAGGCTGTAGTATCCATTTCGAACTTCAAATGCCAAATTTGAAACAATTTCGGTGAATAATGTCGCTAAAATCATAAAAATACCGAATATCGGGAGATATCGTTATATGGGGGCTATATGATAACGTGGACCTACATGGCCCATTTACGGACTTAACCTGCCTATTGGCAAAATATACATGTGTGCGAAATTTTAGCCTTCTATCTCAATTCGTTGGAAAGATAGCGTGATTACAACAGACAGACAGACGGACAGACAGACGGACGGATATGGCTAAATTGTCTTAGAATTTTACGCTGATCAAGAATATATATACTTTGTTGGGTCTAAAATGATTATTTCGATGAGTTACAAACGGAATGACGAACTTAATATACCCTCCATTCTATGTATGGTGGAGGGTATAAAAATGGTGAGGATCGAGATTTTGCCGCTTCTATTCTGGTTATTTTCCGACATATACTTTCATGCGCCGATACAAATGCCTTAAGGTGTGGGTACATAAGCAGCTTGAAGTCTTCGCATATTTTGTGGCATATCATAAAGCCGCACTCGAATTCTGCCACTGTTTCGCCTTATAATTTGATATTAATATGCCTAACCATACCTAACCTTCATAATCTGCTAAATTTTTCCCCATTTTTCTGGACAAGCTTTAGTTTGACCACAGCTTTCTTCTTAACATCCTAACTTATTTAGGATGTTGACTGACCTGAGACCCTATTCTGTCGGAGTTAAGGTGGGAATACATAAAGCGCATATTTGGCTGGCTTAAGTCTTTGGCTTGCTTTTTCGTAGAGGAACAAAGGAATTGAAGGTGGACTTAGTTTGATTTTGGCCCTAGGTCCATTTTTATTTCCGAAAAAGCCAGCTGATGACTTAAGCCAGCCAAACTAATGCTTTATGTATTCCCACCTTCAACTCACTCTAGTCGAGCACATCTAAACCTTTCTCTTCGAAATTTAACCTGAAATTTTTTTTTTCAATTCCAGTGTACGAAAAAGTCATTATGTTTTTTAAATTAATCAAAATTATTAGTAATGTTTTGAAAAAATAAAAAAATAAAAAATAAGAAGAAAATAGTTAAAATTTAAAAAAAAATAAAGTTAACTTCTTGCGGTAATGGTTAATTTAGCAATGCCATTTCTGTCACCAAAACGTTCGAGAAGCTGTCCGCCACGCCTCAGTTGCAGGGAGCTGCAATGGGTGAAAATGGGTTATCAATTGGGTCATCCCGTAATACCTCAACCACCTGAACCTATGATGGACTGTTGCTGGGATGCCGATAATTTCGAAGGATCCTTTCAACCCTATCGAGAATGGCATCGTCCAACCCGGGATAAGGAACACTTGTGGCCCCAACCAAGTGTGTGGTGTAACTGTCGTCCACCAAGAGAGAAAAAACTTTGTGATATCTGTTTGAAGGCTCAAGAAAGGTTCGAAAATACAAGTGGAGAGGCTGGGGATAAAAGGAAAGGACATTTCAACAATGCAGACAGGGAATTAAGGAAAAGAATTCAAATTTCTTCCAAAGAAGAAAATGAAGATGAGGAGGATATATTTCAGGATATTGATGATGAGGAAAATCTTAATTCGAATAATCCTCAGAATGGAGGTGCATCTGATATTAATGGCGCCAAGAAATCCCAGAAAGAAATTTTGATAATTTATCCCAAGGACTCGTTTTATGAATCTGTGGAACGGACCAATCAATGTGGTTCTAACATCATTAAAATCCACACTTTTGTTAATTATGAGCCATCGTCCTGGGGAGAGCTCAAGCTCAACAAGGAAAGTCCTTTGATGAACCCATGTCCGTGCTCTTCAAATTTCTCTAGGGAGGAGCTGGAGAATCAAAGAGAGGATCTCATTTCGGTTGTTTCCTATGATGGAAAGGCTAAATTCTGTCTAGAGCCAGGAAGGCGTAGTGCAATAAACATATCAAGCCAAGGATCCTTTGCGACCGCTACGACAAAATGTGAGGATGAACATTTTATTTACGGTTCTGACCCTACGCATCAAAATCAGCCTTGTCCGGTACAAAAATGCCCTATTGATTCATGTGGTCTGGAGTCCTCACAGTTTCCTTCGAGACTCTTATGTGACTGTCAGGCTCCCCTCTCGAATTGTTGCCACAAAGAAACCCAGACCATTTGGAAAATTCTTGATCCCCAATTTCGCCGAACCTGTTATTGTTGTAACAACAAAGGAGAGGAAAGATCTACAACTCAAAATCGTATTAGACCCGAAACCACCACTCCTCCTCAAGTTCTTCCAAAAATGTCGAATCAATCTAAAATATCAAAACTTGACAGTTATTGTCGGGAGAGGGAGATTTGGGAAAATCCCTTCAAGGAGGGTGTAGCTTCAAGGGATCATGGGGATAAATCTCAAACCCAAATACAAAATCATAACAAATTTCAGAATCTCTCCAAGGTGCCAAATTTTGATGTACAGAAATCAAGAATCCCCAACGAGAATTTCAAACTTCTTTCAGCCAACAGTCTTCAAATGCCTCAAAGTGACACCCCGAAATCGCGGGATTTTCTCAAGCTCTATCGGTCCTATCAAAATCCAAGTTGTCCCCCCAGTGTTAATTTTCAATTTTCCATGAAACCTCGCCTAATATCCAACACAAAAAACCATTTAACTCCATCATCGCCATCAAAAGTAGTAGAACAATGCACCAAAAATCTGGATTTTTCTGAATGCAATCACATCCCCCGAAAATCCTCCCATGTCACTCGAAGATCTCAAAAGTATGAAACACCCTATACTACCAATGACCCCAACTTTGATGATAATAATAGAGAAATTTCTTTTCGTTCAAAACAAGATTCAAAAAACCTCATCAACAGCACAGGCATTGCTCATGTCGACCACACCTCCAGTAAAGATTCCCAGAAGTCCTTTCTCGACTGTCTCAAATCCCAACCTCTTTTAACAAAAATCCGAAGCTTCTTACAAGACTCTTTGGAAAAGTTCATTTGCTGCTGTTCACAAGCCTTTAATATTCACAACAACTATTTAAAGGCCTGTGATGAAGAAGTTCGAAGTGATGTCATTCCGAAATCCTTACACCTGCAAGGAACCACAATCAATTCCACAAGTACCGATGATGATCCCCGGTCACGCTCAACATCTACTGTGGGCAATTCTAGGTATTTGGAAGATTTTTGTTCAAGTGAGAAATTTATGACATGTTGTAAATTCCGAAATGACTCCACCTCCACGGTGCGCCAAAAGTCTTCAACGAAATCAAGACTAAATCAGTCTTCAAGTCCAGTGATCTGTTGCCAATGCTGTTGCAAGAAATCGGAAAATATCAGATCAAGGCATAATAGCACAAATATATGTCGTCAGTCCAATGAAACTAATTCTAACGAGAATCAAATCAAACAAAAATCGGAAGAGGATTTTCCGGGTTCTAATATGGCACGGAATTCGCAGGATGCTACCAATATCACATCAAATTTCAAGGAACTTAAATGTTTACTGGAACCAAATGAAAAATCGTATGCTCATGAAAATGGTAAGCTCATTTAAAAGACTAGCTGTATTTGTATAAACTACACCTCGGAAAGGAGGGTATATTAAATTTGTCATTCCGTTTGTAACATCCCTAAATATTCGTCGTAGACCCCATAAGGTATATATAATTCATAATCAGCATAAAAATCTAAGTCGATTTAACGAAGTCCGTCTGTCCGTCTGTCCGTCGGTCTGTCAGTCTGTCCTTATGTCTATTGAAATCACGATACAGCCCACATTATTTGACATAGAGCGTCAAAATTTAGCAAACCAATTTGTATTGTATCTGGGATGGTTGGTATTGAAAATGAGATATATCGGTCCACGTTTTAGTATAGTCCCCATATAACAGTACCTCCCGATTTTGGGTATTTTGATGATTTTTGCCACATTTTTTCACGGATTTGTCTGAAAATTGGTATTTGTAGGTTATAAGGGGTTTTAGCTCGGGTGGCGAAATATTGTATGTATGGCTCCACGCTTTGGTATAGCCCCCATATAACGGTACCTCCCGATTTTTGGTATTTTGATGATTTTTGCCATATTTTTTCGCGGATTTGTCTAAAAATTGGTCATCGTGGGTTCTAGCTCCGGTGGCAAGAACATTGCATGTATAGGTCCACGTTTTGGTATAGCCCCCATAATACGGTACCTCCCGATATTCCATATTTTGATAAAAAAAAATGGTATTCCCAGTTCATAATGGGTTCTATCCAGGTGGCAAAACATTGAATATTTAGTTCTACGTTTTCCTAAAGAGCACATATAACTATACCCACCGATATTCGGTATTTTGATAATCCTAGTCACATTTACCTACGAAATTGTTTCAAATTTCGTATTTTAGAAGATTTGATAGATGACAATCCACGAAGTATAAAATTGCCTATAGAGGTTCTCGTTATACCCTACACCACATAGTGGTAAGGGTATTGTGTCTTTGTGCATTTGTTTGTAACATGAAGAAGGAAGCGAGTTACTTTTGAGGGTCTCCATAGAATCACTTTCTGAGTTGATTTATGCATGTCAGTCCGTCCGTCAGTCCGTCTGTCCGTCTGTGCGTCTGTCCATATATTTTTGTGAACAAAATGCAGGTCGCATTTATTATCCGATTGAGATGAAAAATTCCAAACAACATTTGTTTGGCCCAAGGACGAACCCTATTGAAATTGGAGATAATCGGTCAAAATTTAGATATTGCTCCCATATATATCTTCGTCCGATTTGCCTTTTATTGTGCACCAAACGTGTAATATCAGCCCGAATAGTATAGAATTTTGCACATACAACCAAATTAGGCCTAAAAATAAGTATGCCAAATTTGATCGAAATCGGTTCACATATATGTAGCTATAGCTCCCATATATATTGTTCATCCGATTTGATGCTTTTGTCCTCCGCAGCCGTAATATGCACTCTGTAACAACAATATTTGAGGAAATATATCAAATGCAGCTCAGAAATACCTTTGCTAAATTTTATCGAGATCGGTTCAGATTTGTATATAGCTCCCATATATAACTTCGTCCGATTTACCTTTTATTGTGCACCAAACGTCTAATATTTGCCTAAATGGGATGCAATTTGGTACATACGACCGAATTGAGTCTAGAAGCTAGTAAGTCAAATTTGGTGAAGATCGGTTCAGATATAGCTATAGCTTCCATATATATTATTCATCCGATTTGTTATATTTGTCACCCACAGCCGTAATATGCACTCCGTAACAACGATATTCAGGGAAATATATCAAATTAGGCCTGAAAATAAGTATGCCAAATTTGATCGAAATCGGTTCAGATATAGCTATAGCTCCCATATATATGGTTCATCCTATTTGTTATTTTTGTCCTCCGCAGCCGTATTATGCACTCTGTAACAACAATATTTGAGGAAATATATCAAATGCAGATCAGAAATATCTTTGCTAAATTTTATCGAGATCGTTTCAGATTTGGATATAGCTCCCATATATATTTTTATCCGATTTCAAATTAATTGTGCACCAAATGGGCAATACAATTCCGAATTTAAAAGATACAAATGCTTCGGCATATTTAGTCCTTTGAACTTTAAATTATAATTATAATCATAGCGTGTATGATTGAATTCTCCCATAAAAACTTTTAATTGTTATGCGGAGCTCTACTAAATTAGCAAAGTGGTGTAGGGTATCATAAAGTCGGCCCCGTCCGACTTTAAGACTTTCTCTACTGGTTTTACTTTTTCTTTTTTACCCCCCATTATATATAGCATGGAGGGTATATTAAGTTCTGTTTGTAACTCATTGAAATAATAATATTAGACCCTACAAAGTATGTATATTCTTGATCGGCGTAAAATTCTAAGAAGTTTAGCCCTATCCGTCCGTCCGTCTGTCCGTCGATTGTAATCACACTACAGTCAAAACAAATTAAGATAGGAAGCTAAAATTTTGCACAAATCTGTCTTTCGTCTGCAGGCAGGTCAAGTTCGAAGATGGGCTATATCAATCCACGATATCGTATAGGCCCGACATTCAGTATTTTGATGATTTTAGGCACATTTTTCAACGGAATTTTCTGAAAATTCACCAAAGGAGTTCTTTGTGAGTACTTTATCCCCTGAAAAAGAACATTATCTATGGGTCCACGATATAATTTCGTATATAAACTTCGGAACAGTTACTACAGCCTATAACACAAATTACTTAACCAGGACCATTTCTTCGTATAGCTTCATATAACGGTTTTCATTTGAACGGTATTTTCCGACAGATTTTTTTTGAAAATTTTCAAGTTTCTTCCAAATGGTAGATGGTATAAAAAGTTCGGCCGAACTTAGAACTTACCTTAACTTACATTATGGTTATTCAAAATAATTTATTTAATAATTAATAATTTATTATTTTAATAATATTTAATAATTTATTTTTTAAAATAATTTTATCCCCATCTATTCTAATATAACACTGATATACAGGGTGAGATGAAAAATTTCAACCAATTTCAGACTGCTGTCATGTCTAAGCCACTCGTCCGACAGCTTATAAAATTATTCCGGTGACAGCTCATTATATTGTTTACAAGCGTACAAAAGAATTTTGGTGAGAATTTTCCAGAAAAAAAAGTTATTCGTTATGGAACTCAAGCGCGATAGTGTGATTTCTTTATATTTGGCTGGAAAACCACAAGTGGCTATCGTTAGGGAACTCCAGCATTTAAATGTGAATAAATCTTTTGTGTCTCGCTCCATCGCTCGATTCCGTGGTACTGGTAGCGTGGCCCGTCGTCAAGGAAGTTGACGGAAGAAAACAGCAACATCAACAGAAATAGTTCGAAAAGTAAAGAAGCGTCTTGATCGAAACCCGCGTCGCAGTGGCCGAAAAATGGCTCGTGAGCAGAACATATCGCAATATTACATTCGCCAAATATTGAAAAATGAGCTCGGGGTAAAACCATTGAAATTACAAAAAGTGCAAGAACTTACACCGCAACAAAAAGAAACCAGTAAAGAAAGTCTTAAAGTCGGGCGGGGCCGACTTTATGATTCCCTACACCACTTTGCTAATTTAGTAGAGCTACACATAACAATTAAAAGTTTTTATGGGAGAATTCAATCATACACGCTATGATTATAATTATAACTTAAAGTTCAAAAGACTAAATATGCCGAAGCATATGTATCTTTTAAATTCGGAATTGTACTGCCATTTGGATAAAGATATATATGGGAGCTATATCCAAATCTGAACCGATCTCGATAAAATTTGGCAAAGATATTTCTGAGCTGTATTTGATATATTTCCCTGAATATCGTTGTTACGGAGTGCATATTACGGCGGCAGTGGACAAAAATAACAAATCGGATGAACAATATATATGGGAGCTATAGCTATATCTGAACCGATTTCCATCAAATTTGGCATACTAGCTTCTAGACTCAATTCGGTCGTAAGTGCCAAATTCCATCCCATTTGGACAAATATTAGACGTTTGGTGCACAATAAAAAGTAAATCGGACGAAGTTATATATGAGAGCTATATCCAAATCTGAACCGATCTCGATAAAATTTAGCAAATGTATTTCTGAGCTGTATTTGATATATTTCCCCAAATATTGTTGTTGCAGAGTGCATATTACGGCGGCGGTGGACAAAAATAGCAAATCGGATGAACAATATATATGGGAGCTATAGCTTTATCTGAACCGATTTCGATCAAATTTGGCATACATATTTTCAGGCCTAATTTGGGTGTATATGCAAAATTCCATAAAATTCGGGCTGATATTACACGTTTGGTGCACAATAAAAGGCAAATCGGACGAAAATATATATGGGAGCTATATCTAAATTTTGACCGATTATCTCCAATTTCAATAGGGTTCGTCCTTGGGCCAAACAAATGATCTGTGCAAAATTTCATCTGGATCGGGCAATAAATACGACCTGTACTTTGTTTACAAAAATACATGGACAGACGGACGGACGGACGGACGGACGGACGGTCAGACGGACGGACGGACGGACGGACATGCATAAATCGACTCAGAATGTGATTCTATGCAGATCATCAAAAGGAACTATGGGTCTATCTCGTTTCCTTCTGCCTGTTACAAACAAATGCACAAAGACATAATACCCTGACCACCTTGTGGTGTAGGGTATAAATAGACTCAAAAGAGCTAAAGAGTTGCTTCGCTCGGCCGAAAATGGTGAACTGCCGAATTTGGTTTTCTCCGTCTCCGATGAGAAAACATTCGTTGTCCAGCAGTTTGTAAACAAACAAAATGATCGTGTTTACTTGCCAAAGAGGTCAGCTGGAAATGTGCACCTTCGGTTGGCCACCAGAACTCAAGCGCCGGCCATTGTGATGGTGTGGGCCACTATAACAGCCGATGGTCGCTCTTCGCTCGAATTAATCGAGCGTCCCATCAGAATAAATGCCGAATATTATCGCGAAAATATTCTGGAGGGTGCATTAAAGCCTTGGGCACGCAAACATTTTGGCCGCAGACCTTGGACATTCCAACAGGACTCATCACGCTCCACCCAAAAATGGTTACTAAATGAGGTTCCTCGCTTCATTTCCAACGCACAATGGCCACCAAAATCTCCGTTTACCAATCCGTTGGACTATTGTGTCTGGAGTATTTTGGAAATCAAGCTTGGCACTAAAAATACCAAAGTGTAGATCACCTCAAGCAAGCGCTTCGCCGGGAATGGGCCAAAATACCGCAGAGCAACATTCGGGCAGTGTGTGATTTTTTCATTGGCCGTTTGAAGGCCATAATTCGTGCCAAAGGTGATCAATTCGAACAAATCTAAACTTATTCCAAAATTTGAAGCTATTTCCGATTTTTTTTGCTTTCAATCAATGAAATTTAAAAAAATTGTAAAAATTATGGTGTTTGACTTTGTTGCAGTTTTTTTTATCTCACCCTGTATAGTTTTGAATATAAGAATATACTCCCCGTTTTTAAAGAATATTTTTAAAATGTATTTTTGTACGAAAAATATGACAGGACCATCTGAGTAGAAACCTTGTAGTGCTCACGAATATTTTGAAGGATGCCCTAACCATACTTTTACGTACATTTTTAAGGGCCTCCTGAGTGAATATTATGGTTTTTTTAGGAATAACATTTCTTGGCAGAAAATAGAGGATTATTTTTAAGAACTTTATGCCATTTAAAATGTCGATTTTCCATTTCCATTTTTACTAACAGTTTTTTTCGAGTGTAGAAAAATTGTTTTGACATTTAATAAATATTTTGAAAATTTACAAATTCTTCATTTCTCTCTTTTATCGAAATTCTCCCGCCTTCAAATCGGAACCGCAAAAGTCAGGATCGACAAGAATTATCCTTGTGCCAACGAAACCAAATTCCAACCGCAACCAAACGAAGGCTTTGCCAGCAAATGTATTCCGATTATGGTGGGAATCGGTCATTCTGCAGTTCTCCTGAATGTTATGACTTCACTGGTGGCAATGATGTGGTGAATGCTACAAATGTGCCCTGTGCGCATGGTCAGTGTGCCACAACATGTGATGCCTGCAATGAGGCGGTTCATGAAGCTCCATCTTTCATTAAATTCTCCAATATGCCATTACCCATGGCTTCGCCACCAACTCCAACTTCGTCCAGTACCAAACTGCAAAAGAAATCTTCGAAGAAGAATGAGAAAATTTCCATGAGCTGTGAGGTCAAGGAGGCAAATGTGGGATGTAAAGTCAATGCAAAGGAACTACGAACGAAAAAAGATGTGACCAAGGGTAAAGGGGCGTGTGAAGGATCATCGAGGTTGGAAAATGCTAATACTTCGAAGAAGAAAATAAATAGTGATATCGGATCCAGCAAATGTGATGGGAAATTGCATAGGACCCAGTGTGGCTCCGATCATGATGTTGGAGGAACAATGTCGAAAACTTCATGTTCCTCCAATAAAATGGATCGGGGTCCGGACAAGTTGGCTAAAAGAAAAGAGAAACCGAGTAACATGAAAAATGGAGTGAAGTGTGATGCGAAACCTTCCGATATGGATGTTAGAGGAACCATTTCGAAATCCTCGTGTTCCTCCAACAAAATGGATGGTAAACTCAATTCCAAATTTCAGACTCAGAATTTGTCGGAATCAAATAAATGTGGTGGCAAATCTCACAGCGCTAAGAGCGGCGCACCACTTGAGATTAAGGAACGTCCCTCCAAAAGTTCCTGCACCTCGAAGAAACTGGATGAAAATATTGATCCGAATGATGAGATTTTTGACCTCATCACAGATGATAATGTCGTTGTACGCTGCCAATGTAAATGTAATGACCATAACTGTCCAAATATGGATCATTCCAAGGAAGGCAGATCATCTTCGCTTCGGAATAGAAATCAGCCAAAATGTTGTCCAGCTTCGGGTCCAAAATGTGAAAATGACAAGCCTCAAAAAACTGGGCCGAAAAATATTAACGAAAGAAAGCAAAATTCCCCGTTACTTTCAAAACGAACCACTCCAATCGGAGGCACCTCTCCCAGTTGCTCCCACAAACCTTCTGCCAATCTACGAAATACTCATCTCTTGGATTCCATTGAGGAGGAGTATGATTCCACTGAACCCTGCTCAAAATCTTGTTCTACAGCAAAGGCCAAACTCCAATCGAGGGAAACTGCTTGTCAACAGATTCCAATAAATTCCGCCAGGTCCAAGTTCAATTCCAATGGCTGTAAACCATTTGCTGATAATGCTCACACCTCGAGGTCTCATAAGCCCCTCGAAGAATCTTGTATCGATTTTTTAAACATCATCTCAGATAATGTTATGGAATCGGTAGAGAATTCTTTGAACGAGGTGTTGTGTGAATTTTCCCAGCGAATCTCTGAGAAAATCGAGCTAATGCGGGAGAAATTGGAAAGAAATGAATCGATGATGTCGGGGTTGTATTGCGCCATAATGGAAAGTGAGTATTTGGTATTGAAATTGAATTCTTGATTAAAATTGGAAGGAGGCTGTGTACGGTGGATGTACCAATGGCGAAGTACCGAAAAGTACTAAATGGTAGTTGATTTGAAAAAAATCTTCATTTGGAGGAACCGATAGATAGAGCTAGAATACGGAAATTTTAAATTACGATTGAAATGTAGGATTCTAGGTATTTAGATAGTTTTGTGCTACATGGTACTAATTGGGTACAATTTGTGTTTGGACGAATCGAGAATGGTAAATGGTGGAATCCTGAAATTTTGTTTTGGATTTCTGTGGGAGTATATGATTGGGGTATGTGGGAAGCTTTGGAAATTCGTACTTATGTGTACTAAATTCGGTACAATATAGATTTGTGTGAACCGATGGGGCAGGACGAAACGGGTCACTCTTTGTCCAAAGTGGTCAGATAAAGCTGGATTTTTGGAAATCCGTATTATAAACGGTCTAAAAAGTAATAAAAGGTACTAAATATGGTACCCTTTGAATTTAAGGAAGCAGTAGAGCTAGAACGCTTAAATTTGGAATGAGGGTCACTGATGGAGTGTATGTTAGATGTACCAAAAGAGTGTCGGAAATTTGTACTATAAGTGTACGAAAAGTACTACATTTGTTACCAATACGTATCATGTGAAAGGTTAGAGGAAGAAAATTGAACTTTGGATTCTGAATCGATGTTGAGGAGGAGTTGAGGATGTAGGGAAGTTGTTTTGGACGTGTGTGAGTACACCAATACCACTCATGTATACCAAAAATACTAAACGGTACTAAATTTAGTACAATCTGAAATCGGAGGAACGGATGGAGCTGGAATCCTAAAATTTGAAATTATCATTACTGGCGAAGAGTAGGATTGGGATATGGAAGAGGTTTTCAAAATTTGTAGTTATATGTACGAAAAGTACTAAATGATACAAAATTTGGTACAACTTCGATTTAGGTGAACCGATAGAGTTGAAATCTTGAAATTTAGAAATTTTAGAACTGAAGTATGTAGGTAGTTTTGGAAATTCGTACTTGTGTAGTAAATTTTACTAAATTTGGACAATTTAAATATTGGACAATTTATGTATAAGAGTGCGGTGTGTACAAAATTGTGTAAATTCGTACTTATGTGTAGAAAAATGGTACTACATTTGGTACAATTTAAATTTTGGGAGAACTGGAAGAGATGGACTCCTGAAATTTGGATATAATGTTACTACTGCATTGTTGGACGGAGGAATGTAGGTAATTTATTTGTACTTATCTGTACTAAATGGTACTAAATTTGATACAATTTTCATTTTGGGAGAATATATAGAGTTTGAATCTTGAAATTTGGAAATAAGATTGCTATTGCATTTTAGGATTGGGGTGTAATAGAAATTTTGGAAATTTATACGTTTGTACGCTAAATGGTAATGAATTCAGTTCAATTTAAAATTAGGCAGAATCGATAGAGTTGGAATCCTGAAACTTGAAAATAAAACCAGTAAAGAAAGTCTTAAAGTAAAGCGGGGCGACTTTATGATACCCTACACCACTTTGCTAATTTAGCTGAGCTGCAATTAAAAGTTTTTATGGGAAATTCAATCATACACGCTATGATTATAATTATAATTTAAAGTTCAAAGGGCTAAATATGCCGATGCATTTGTATCTTTTAAATTCGGACTTGTGTTGCCCATTTGGTGCACAATTAATTTAAAATCGAATGAAAATATATATGGGAGCTATATCAAATCTGAACCGATCTCGATAAAATTTGGCCAAGATATTCCTGAGCTGTATTTGATATAGTTCCCTGAATATCGTTGTTACGGAGTGCATATTACGGCTGTGGGTAACAAATATAACAAATCGAATGAACAGTATATATGGGAGCTATAGCTATATCTGAACCGATCTTCACCAAATTGACATACTAGCTTTTAGACTCAATTCGGTCGTAAGTGCCAAATTTCATCTCATTTGGGCAAATATTAGACGTTTGGTGCACAATAAAAGGTAAATCGGACGAAGTTATATATGGGAGCTATATCCAAATCTGAACCGATCTCGATAAAATTTAGCAAATGTATTTCTGAGCTGTATTTGATATATGTCCCTAAATATTGTTGTTACAGAGTGCATATTACGTCTGCGGAGGACAAAAATAACAAATCGGTTGAACAATATATATGGGAGCTATAGCTATATCTTAACCGATTTCGATCAAATTTGGCATACTTATTTTCAGGTCCAATCTGATCGTACGTGCAAAAGTCCATATTATTCGGATTGATATTACACGTTTGGTGTACAATAAAAAGCAAATCGGACGAAGATATATATGGGAGCTATATCGGATTATCAGACGGTTTATCTCCAATTTCAATAGGGTTCGTCCTTGGGCCAAACAAATGATTTGTGCAAAATTTCATCTGGATAGGGCAATAAATGCGAACTGTACTTTGTTTACAAAAATGCATGGACAGACGGACGGACGGACAGTCGGGCGGACATGCATAAATCGACTCAGAATGTGATTCTATGCAGATGATCAAAAGGAACTATGGGTCTATCTCGTTTCCTTTTGCCTGTTACAAACAAATGCACAAAGACATAATACCCTGACAACCTTGTGGTGTAGGGTATAATTACTATTATATTGTAGGCTTGAGGTATGTAAGTAGTTTTGGAAATTCGAACTTATGTGTACTAAATTTGAGAGTTGGAATCCTGAAATCTGGAAATAAGATTGCTATTGCATTTTATGGTTGGGGGGGGGGGGGGGGGGGGGGGGGGTATGAAGGAAGTTTCGAAAATCGTTACATATGTGTACAATATGGTACAACATTTGGAACAATTGGGACCTGGAATCCTGGAATTCCAAATAAAGATTACTGTTGGAGTGTAGGATTGTGTGTAGAATTTGTATTTGAATGAACCACGGGGGGTGGAGTTCTGAAAATTTGAATTGGATTTATTGTGGGAGTATATGATTGGGGTAAAATTTGGATTTGGATGGATTTGGGTAAAACTATGGGGTTGCAATCCTGAAATTGTGAAATAAGATATTTATTGGATTGCGAAACGGCTGGAGCTAGAATCCTGAAATTTTGCAAGCGGGTCAATATTGGTGGGGGAGATAAGGATATGTTTTTTTCAAATTCGGATTAAAAGTTTTAAAATGTATAAGTATATATAAGTTGGGATTGCAAATACGCTCTTCAAGCGTTCGAAAGGTACTAAATGGTACTTGAACTCTGAAATTTGGCACTGAGATTTAGAGGCGGTTCTTGGAAATACGTACTGAAAAGTACTAAATTGTACTTAAATTGGTATTTGTGTAAGGGATTGACTTGGAAGTAAAAAAAAAAAAAAATTGTTACGAGGATAAATGGTTATCCTCGTAGCAATTTTTTTGTTACTTCCCAGTCAATGCGGTTTGATTGACTCATAGCGGGGAATTTGGAAATACGTACTTAAAGGTACGAAAAGTACTCAACATTATTATCTTTGGTATTTGGAGAAGCATGGAGCTAGAAATCTGAAATTTGGAATGAGAGTCGTTGATGTTGTATAGAACAGACAAACTAAAGGGTTTTTCGAAATTCTAACCATACGTGTATCAAAAGTACTAAAATGCACTAAATTCAGTACTATTTGGAATAATGTGAACGGAT